ATTCGCTGGCTGGGGAATTCTGGGAGTTGAAGTCCGGACATCTTCAAGTTGCCAAGGTTGAGAAACACTGCTCTGGAGGGAAACTGTTCCATTGATCAATTGTTCTTGAGGCCAGCAAATGTCTCCTCAATTCCAGGTTGCTTCTCTCCTTGATTAGTTTCCATCCATTACTTCTGCTTTCGGGTGCTTTGGGGAATAGGTGAGAATTCTTTGGGGCAGCCACTCAAATATTGGAAGATGCTATCTTGTCACTCCTAGTAGTTCTGTTAAAAAAATAAATCAACGGAGGACTTCCCACCCTTTGTTCAAAAATATTAGATCTTGGGTCATCCATTCCAGGTGACTGGCAAAATATTCTTTTCATTCATTCTGACAAAAGGGTTTTTTCCCCCTGAAGTTTGGAAAATTCCTTTATGAAAAGATCCCGATCAATTGTTGAGCTTGGAAAATGGGGGTCTTAATTTACAGGTAGGAAAAAAATATCCTGAAAGTAAGAAAAAAATTAGACATTGGGAATTATTTTCTGAAAGCATAATGTACTCCTCCACTTACGACCACAATCGAGGCCAAAATTTCCGTGTTTAAGAGAGACACTTAAGTGAGTTTTGCCCCGATTTTACAACCTTCCTCACCACCATTGTTAAGTGAATCATGCAGATGTTACATCAGTAACCCAGCTGTTAATGAATCTGGCTTCCCCATTGTCGGACGGTCGCAAAAGGGGATCACATAGCCCTGGGACACCCCAAGCGTCATAAATACGAGTCAGTTTTGCCAAGTGTCTGGATTTTGATCACATGAGCAGCTAAGTGTGAGCAATGTTTTTTTTTAGTACCGTTGTTTGAAGGGCCACTAAACAAGCCGTTGTCGTAAGACAAGGACTTACCTGTGGCTGGCATGAAGATTACACGCAGGGGATTGTAATTTCGTAGATTTTATTCCCAGTCTCTTTGTCTGCTTCTAATCCGCCGGGTCCTTCCTTCCTCCCTTGGCGAGGCCGGTCTCAGGGTCTGTAGTGGCCACCTATCGGAAGATCCACCTCTTTGACGTGGAGCTGGAAGGGAGGGTCTCCCTGAAGGAAAGCGCCTTCACCAACCCCGGCTCAGAGATGGTGCCGCCTGTGCCCACCCCAGCTGGAAAGGTAGGCGGTTTGGAACGGGCGATGTCCTTCAGCAGCCGAGCAGAGGGAGGACTGGGAGTCAGAGTCAGGAATAAGGCAACCTGAGAGCTCCCAGGGGGAAGAGGGAAGGGGGCTGGCAGGGAGGGGGTGCAGAGCCTGGCCCCCCGAGATGGAGAGTCAACAGCCCCCAGGTCTGGAGGTGGCTGATGAGGAAGAGGAGGAAGAGCTGAGTCCAGCGCCTGGCACGTGAATGCACAGAAGGCAGAGGAGAGGAGAGCAGGGGAAATCTATGGGCCGGTCCTTGGGACGGAAGAGCCACCGCTCCTAGCGAAGCCCGACCCGAG